CCCCAGCCTGCACGCCGGCCGCCTCTGCCAGACTCCACTGGGGCCCACGAAGCCCCGTCCCCATGCCAGGACAACCCTGGGGTGGCTTTGGCGAGGGACAGTGGCATGGCCAGAGCCTGCTCACGGTGCAGGGCCAGGCTCGTGCTGGCTCTTTCCAAGCAGCTTGGGAATAAATATTTTGGTGTTCCTCCACCCAAGGAAGCCTGCTTGGCCTTCCCTGGACCTCAGAGCTTCGTTTGGCGAGACACCCCCTGCCTGTGAGTGGGGAGTCTTAGCTGGGGGCGTGCAGATGAAGCCGGATCCAAACCCTGCACAGACAGAGCTCTGCACCGTCCCCGTGCCGTGGCAGGGACAGAGGGACCCAAACACGGTGGCTTCCAGGGATGGCTCAGCCTGGTCCCCTGCCCGCGGGGAGATGCTCCAAGCACAGACCCCTGTGTGGACCAGTCCCCCAAATCAGGTCCACACACACATTTTGGGAGGGAATGGGGTTGTCAGTGGGTGGAGGAAGGTGCTGGCAGTCACACAGCATTTCTGTGGTAGTTTCTTGTAAATCCCCAGCTCCTGGACTCAGGGGATTCAGTGAGGCTCATTCAAAGCGCTGCAAGCATCCTGAGCCTGTGCCGTGGCTGCAGCACCCAGGGGTGGGGAGCAGCCAGTGGGAGGGATTTTCCAATTTCTTCTGAATTTTGAGCCAGTTTTAGGCAGTCTGACTCCTCATTTTCAGCTCTTCTGCTCTCAGTCACTATAAATGGATGTTTTCTGTTTTCCAAGTGCCAAAGAACTGGGGAAGAAAATGGTCAAGATGGGTGTGTGTAAGCGCCAGCCCTGGCTGCGGACATGTCCACCGTGCATTGAGCGACAAAGCGGCAGACAGGCTGCAGTACCCACGAACTGGGGAGAAATGTAGGTGGTTAATAGAGGGGGAGGGACAGAAAGAGTGAGGCAGATCACTGTGTTGGTGTTTCAGGTCCAGGCATGGGGAAAGCCAAGGTTTTCCATCCCCATCCTGAGCTGCAGACCAACCCTCAGCCAGAGCCCCTGCCTGTACCACATATCCTCTCAGCTTTGGGAGTTTCTTCTGTGTAACACCCAAATCTGCCAGATCCACCCGATTCACAGCCTGACCCTGGGAGCAGGGGCTGGGGGGGGTAAGTGCTGAGCCAGCGGCGGGCGGGTGGGAGGCAGGATGGCTTCACTCGCTGCCTGTGAGGGCTGAATTTTTCATGCAGAGGAAAAGGTCATCCAGAGACTGAAAAGCAAATAAACAGCCAAGAGACTCGGCCAGACTGCAGAGCAGGGACGGGGCTGGCAGCTGACGCATCCCCCATCACCAGTAATGTGGTGCCAGCACGTTGTTGACCTGGATGGGGCTCAGCATTGGTGGGTGAGGTTGGGTAAATGGGGTGATTTTACTTGAGGGAAAATCTTCTGAAGGCATGGACTCAGAAAGCAATTGGGTTTGCGGGGGAAAGCAAGGGTGGGGGAGAAGGGCCCTTGGAGCATTGCAGGAGGCCGAGCACCATGGAAGCATTTTTAGTTGACTATTTTCAGAGTTAGGGATGCAAAGGAGCTCACAGGGCATATCCAGCCAGCCCGAAAAGCAGGGAGAGCGCACACAGGAAGCATTTCTAATGTCTCTGGAGGGGAAACTGAGGCACAGCAGGGCATTGGCAGACGTGTGGCCTCACAGTCATCTCCACCCCCAGCACACCAGCTCCTGCTGTGAGAAGGGGATGGATCCTGGGGACCCCTGTGCTGGGGACACCAAGCAGAGCTGGGGCTGAGCACTGAGCCCTCAAAACGGAGCGAGGTGCTCTGGAGCTGCCTGAGTGAAAATGCAGGAGCCTGAAAATCCGGCTCTGCTGCTCCCAGCCCCAAGGTGCCCCTGCTGCATCGACCCTGCCCGCGCTGCTCGGAGGATGCCCCAGTGCTGGGGCTCTTCTGTGCAGGCTGGGAGCTGCCCTGTGCCTCACGCCTGGGCCCAGGGGGGTCTGTCAGCACCCACGGGTGCTGGGGCTGGCACCCTCCGTGTAGCACTGCCAGGGTGAGGTCGGGTGCAGGGGAGATGGCAGAGGACCTTCAGGGAACTTTTTCCCACCTGACAAAATCCTAGTGCCCAGTCCTGGCTTTGGCATCGGTTTGGGGCCAGCTGGACCCCCCCAGCAGCTGGCAAAGGTGGTGGGGGTTGTGCTGCTGAGATGGGGGTTTGCAGCATGATGGTGCCTTTTAGGAGGTGAAACCATGTGTACCTCCTCCACCACTGTGTGCCCTGCAGAGAAGCTGGCGTTGCTTCTCCTGCAAATGTCAGTATAGTTTATAGGTGGTTTCTCCTCAGATAAAAATGAAATAGAAAAAAAAAATCACAGTTGTAGCAAGCAATATTTTTTTTATCTTTGGGTCAAGTGTCTGGCTTCCTTCAGATGTTCCTAAAATGATTTCATTGCTGACCATCCTTAATTATAATTCCTAAATCACTGGATATAATTTTAGAATCCAGAACCTGCCCCAAGCAGTGCCAGGCTGGAGAGCTGCCCTGTGCCCTGCTACGTCTGCATGCCCACTCTCCAGGAGAACAGATGGCCGGGACATCCGCACCACCACTGTGGTGGGTTTGGCCATCTCCAGTAAAGTCATCTTGTGTTTGAGTGTAGGAAAAAATGCTGTCATCCGTAACATAGAGCTTGGGATGCTGAGGGGGGTCCAGGCATGGATTGCAGGGATTACCCGTGTGTTAATTCCCCATCCCTGATGTCCTGATGTTGTGTCTTGGAGAGGGTGTCCCAGGGAGGTGGAGGAGGTAGTGGGTGATGAATGTGGTCGTAAGCATCACCCACCGGTGGAGCTGGGGTTGCAGGAGCCAGTGAGTGGGAAGGGGCTCACCACCCCAGCTGGCACCACATGAAGAAACAAAAATAGAGGCCAGGCATGGCTGGAGCTGCAGAGGGCAGCAACGGAGCTGAATACATGCCAGCGCCCATCCATCACCCACTGTCTATCACCCACTGCGAGTGCTGTCCAGTCCGTCACCTGCTGTCCCCGAGCAGGAGTCACCAGGCTGCCCTGGTGATGGAGGTGGCTCAGCCCAGCCTTGCAGCAAAAGGGGATGCTGAGATACCTCAAGTTTCACAGAGGCAGATGGAGGGGCCTGGAAATACCATGAAAATGTCTAAAAACTGTGTCAGGGTCCCTGCTGGGGCCTAAAATTTGGATTATTAGAAACAGTCTCCCTGTTTTTTTCTCCCTGTGAGATATTTTGCCTTAGGCTGGAAACCAGGCTGGTTTTTAGGATATTTAAACTGACATTGCTGTTGAACTGTGTTAACCCATTAACACAGAGAGAACAGCTAACATCCTCCACTTGTTTGGAAGAGTCGACAAGATCAACATTAGGAAGGTTTCATGTGTCACTTGGCAAAACCATGGAAAGCTTAAAGTCTTCAGTGGGTGGCTCAGATCCATTTTAATAATGTTTTTCCACTATCCCAAAGTAGATAATTCCTCCTTATTTAATAAAGATTTTTCTATGTGCCAATGACAGGAGGCAGGTAGCGTGTACTGTTCATAAAGAACCCATTAGCTTTGAGAGACTCATTCCTCACCTTGGCCATCTTCTGCAAATATTTCAAGTCTCCCCAAAGCATTCAAACTGGGAAAAACAACTTGTCTCACAATATTTCTAGAAGTGGAAGGCATTTCTCCCATTTTGTGAAAATTGTTCTGATTTTGGATCCAGCCCCACAGCTGCTTCCACACAGATTTACTGCCCGCAGTCATGTGCAGTGGGAAGAGCAAGTCTCATGCCCCATGGATGAAGAGGATGAACCGAGGCACCATCCCCAGCTGCACCACATGCAAGATGGTGCCCAGCCAGGATGGGGTTCCCAGAGTAGGAAGCTGTGGTGAGAGACAAAGGTGTCTTGGTGGCGCTGATGCAAGGGGGTCCACAGGGCAAAGTCCTGAGCTGGGAGAGGTCTCTTAGCCCCATGGGGCAGTCTGGGTTCTGTCCTGGGGCCTTGATGGTTCCCAAGTCGGGTTGTGATGATCATCCAAATTCTAGTGCACTTTCCATCTCCACAGCTGTCCACACTGCCACAGGGCACCACCCAAGTTTGATAAGACTCACAGACAAAGCAGGCTGAGGAAATCCTTTGCAGGGCTACAAAACTCGTTGATTGTTGGAGAGCGTCCCCGGGAGGCTGTCACCCTCTGCTGTCGACGGAGCAGTTGGGACCAGCTGGATCCATTCTGGCAGCTCACGAGGGGTGGGAGCTGCCAGATGACCTGCAGGAGGGAAACCCAGGCAGGGAGTGCTTCGTCGGGACAAGTCACATGGACCCTCACCACTCCATTGCAACGTGACACTGCAGTCCTGCAACCTTGCAATTACCTTCCTTGTAGGAGGTGACCTCAGTGGCCCTGTATCTCTGAGCTGTTCCACAGAGAAAAAACCTTCTCCCACCCCGTGGTGAGTCTGTGGGGCATCCTCTGTCCCAGCCTGATGAGAAACCGGAGGCAGC